TTGACCCAATATATCTAAAATATTACCACTTAAACATGTAATGAGGATAAAATTATTTTTATAATATTATATATATTTTTCAAACTAAGTCTTCAAATCTGGTGCGTATTTTAGATTTATGGCACCTCTTAATTCGAAGTAGCTACATTTCAAGTGCTTTATAGCCACATGTGGCTGTTGGCAATGGTGTTGCACAACATAAATTTATGAGAGGCCAGGTGCGGTGGCTCATGCCTATAATCCCAGCACTTTGGGAGGCCGAGGTGGGTGGATTACGAGGTCAAGAGATCGAGACCATCCTGGTCAACATGGTGAAACCCCGTCTCTACTCAAAATACAAAAAATTAGCTGGGCATGGTGGCGTGTGCCTGTAATCCCAGCTACTCAGGAGGCTGAGGCAGGAGAATTGCCTGAACCCAGAAGGTGGAGGTTGCGGTGAGCCTAGATCGTGCCATTGCACTCCAGCCTGGGTAACAAGAGCGAAACTCCGTCTCAAAAAAAAAAAAAAAAAAAATCTAGGGGAATATTTAAATAGTAAGCAAGCAATAAGATATAACATTAGAAGTGCCAGACAAGGGATACAGTACGATGGCAGCACATAGGAGAGCATCTCAACTAATGTGAGTAGGGTTGGAAAAAACTTTGTGAGGAAGTGACATTTCAACTAAGCTCTAAAGGATGAGCTGAAATTAGCCAGAGAAAAGGAAAGGGGTAGGGCAGGGAGATGAGAGAATAGGAAGGTCAATATTCCAGGCAGAAGGACATCCAAGGCCTGCAGGTGAATGAGTATGGCGTACTGGAAAGACTACAAGAACTTCAATATGGCTGGAACAAAGACTATTATGTGGAAAGGGGAAGATGAAAAGACAGGTAGGAGCCAATTCATGAAGGAAGTTGCAAACCATTTAAAGGAGTTTGGCCTTTACTCCATTTAAAGGAGTTTGGCCTTTATTCTAAGAAATCTTTCCTTTCTAAAGCCTCTAGGACTGTATTATATTTATGGAACTGGCAACTTCAGACTGAAATGTGCTCATCTTCACTGGAATACAATGGGGAGTAAGAGACATGAAGATGAAGAGGCTAAAGCTGGATGACCATTTATTAGAGGTGATGAAGAATCTAGTTTGGGATTAGATGAGTCCCCTAGGCCATTTTCAACTCTTAGATTTTAGAACTGTTAACTCTTTAGCTAGAACATTAGAATAAACATTATGCTTAATAAAATGTGGATGTTATTTATAAATCATTTTTGTAAGGAACACTGTATATAACACTGCAAATGTGTTAAATATTTATATTAAGATTCATGGCTGGTAGTTCTGAATAGTATATGTATGAACATTTGTAGTAACAAGAACAGTGAAATCCTACAGGTTGTTTTAGGAATTCTCTTGTAAGTTGCTTATAAATTACCGCTTTGAATAATTTGCAAAGTAATTCACAATGCTTATCAGTGCTCTGTTCGAACTTGGAGCCTTGAATCTGTCTTTTAGAACTCCCATGATATGGAAGAGTGCTGGAACCGTAGTTATCAATACTAGCAAAAGGCACCAAACTTTATATTATACAGTTTACAGCTTAATCATCTGACTTACAGGATCCCACTGAGTGTGTGATTCCAAGTGCATTGTTTTTCCTTGTCCTACTGAATTATTAGCTTTTGGAAATTAAAGAAAGTGATTTATATTTCCATTCATATGTATTTTAATATGTGTCAAGAACTGTGCTGCATATTTCCTAGAGTGCTTGATAGTTTTGAACATATTTAGTATGAATTTATCAGAATCAGAAAACACATTTAAATATAGCCACTGCATTTTATATCTTGCCAAAATACATGTTTGTTAAACAAACATACTGCTTAGGAATTATACTGGATTTACAGAGTCCCCCACAATTCATGTCTACCCGGAACCTATAAATGTGATCTGACCTGGAAATAAGGTCTTTGCAGGTATAATCAAGTTATGATGAGGATACACTAGATTAAGTGAGGGCCCCAAATCCAACATGACTGGTATCCTTATAAAAAGAGGGAAATTCTGGGCACAAAGACAGATGCCCAGGGAGAACGCCAAGTGACTATGGAGGCAGAAACAGTGATACATCTACAAGCCAAGGAACACCAAGGATTGCTGGCAACTGCCAGATGCTAGGAATAGTAAGGAAGGATTTTCCCCTAGATCCCTGCTAACATCTTGATTTCAGACTTCAGGTATCCAAAACTGTAAAAGAATAAATTTCTGTTGTTTTAAGACACCAAGTTTGTAGTACTTAGTAACAGCAGCCCTAGGAAACCCATACAGGAACCTGTGCCCTACCAATTGCATCTCATATTTCCTTTATATAGCAGCTCTTGATTTATTGGACTTGACAGATTTAACCCTTTTCTCTGTTAAACAAACTGTGTGAGGGTAGGATCCTATTCTTTGGATTCTCTGGTATTTCTATACAGTTCTAGTCCCATCAAAAGAGCTGTGCACTTCCAGCCCAGAATGTTCACTGTTGGAAACTTTGGAAACCCCTGTTAAAGGTGAATCACTTAAAAAATTCAATCAGATTAGGTATGAGTGAGGCAATTATAAAAGACTAAAATGAGATCATGAAAATCTAGAAAAAATTATCATTCCGATTGCTTTGCAAAGCCTTTAAAGTCTTACTTCATTTTACTAAAACTATAACCAGAACTTGTAGGACTTATGCCATGGGTGTCGTTTGTTAAGACTGACTTTGTGAAGTTGCAATTAAAACCCAAGCATGCACATACACGCACACACACACATATTTGTCTAGGTTCTATAATTCTCTGCTTTTATCAAATTTTCTATTGACCATATTATCATAGCTCTTGATTATAATAAATAAGAAAGAGAATTTTCACTGTAAGAAGTTATTACATGATGTTTTTATTTAGTTCCCTGACTATAATCTATTAGTCTATAAACTATATACACAGAGATTATACCTGATTCGCTCTTTAGTGTTTAGCATAGTGCCAAGTATAGAGCAGCTTCTCTCAAACTATTTTTTTAAATAAATGAGCACAAAATGAAAACACATTTTTGATTTTCACTTTTTCGAAAAATCATATTATTAACAGAGTTTTATTATTATAGACTGATATTTAAGACATAAAAATGGCCTCATTACAGGTAACTTGATGTTTTAATGGCATTTACTAAAATGAGGTTTTATTTACCATATATGAATATTCTCACTTTTATTGTATCATTTCTCATAGCTCAATGTGCTTTCATATCATAATCTTTCTGAAAGTACTTAAATTGATCCTATTGTACACCTTCACATAATTTCTACTTAATGCCACAGTGTTATTTCTCCAAGTTTACAAAGTAGGATGCACAGACAGAAAAGGTAGCTTTAAGGCAGATTTCCAATTATGCCTCAAATTCATGAGCTTCCAAATTCTAGACCACTATTAACTCCGTCATTAATTAGGCTATAACCCTGAGCAAACTATTGATCCTCCTTGAGCCTTAGTTTCCTTAGTAATCAGATGAGGTTTTCTGACTGGACAATTTCTAGGATGCTCTCTAGTCCCAAGTCCTCATTTTCAGCACCAATTTTAGATTTGTTTATGAATAAAAAATATAGCTTCTCACTGCCTTTGTTTCCAATATGGGAGACAGAAAATAACACGTGTAGTTAAAGAATTACAGAAAGGATGCTGTGGAGATGTGTTACTGAGTACGGAGTAGGAAGAAGAAAAGGAATACCAGAGGGTGACTTTAATGTCAACATGCTTGGATAAGCTCTTTTTTGAGGAGAAAAAAAATGAAATATTTTATATTCATATAACCACAATAATTCTCTTCTTAAACTTGCCCAAAAAAATCTCAATGGCAAGTTTGAAGGCCCCTGAGGTATGCAGCTTAAAAAATTAAAGGCTAGTCAACTCTTTATATTTTATTATAATAACTAAGTAGGATATAATCTTATTTAATTATGTAATAAAATAATTGCTATGATCTCTAAATCCTACTGATCTAAATTAATTTATAATTAAGTTTTACTCCTTAAACTATGGATAATATTAAGAAAGAGGCAGCTAAAACGTTCTTTTTATAAGTTACACAAATATTCCTTTTTAAAAAACTTCTTAAGTAATTTAATAGGAAGCATTGAAAAATACCTTAACACATTTGGTAAATAAAAATGATATAGGGTTTCAGATGGTCCAACAAGATGAAGAATTTACCATTGGAATTCTGTTAAATAACTGCAAGAGTTATAGTTTTACCTTGGAAAACTTTCATCATGGAACACAGCTGTGAAACAACTTTGGCTTCAAACAGAAAGACCATAATAAAAGCGCCTCCTAGCTAGAGTTAGGTTCAAGAGGTTTATGGTGGTGAATAGCAGAATAGCAGAAAAGATGAAACGTTTCAATAAGCCCCTCAGGCTGATTTAGTTAGCATTCACAAAGTGGAATAACCTATACATCACATACCCTTTGTTAGCTGGTTGTTTAGAATAGAAATATGAGTCACTGGATTTTATTTTAGCATTTGGGCAATGCAATTCTCCTTTTGCCCAAAATATTAAAATGCAGAAATGTGAAACTAAGAGAAGTAATGTCAGATCTTATACAGGGTGCTTATCAACCATTGTGATGGATCAAGAAATCCTTTGGCTCATCATTCCATGTTTCACCTTGGTAGGCACAAATGATACATTATCTTATGTTAAAAAAATCCACATTACACAAATTATCAAACTACAGTACATTTTAAAAAACTTTTTATGTGAGGGAGAGGTTTTAAAGGGGAGAAGCTTGCAAAAGCAAAAGAAAACTGATATTGGAAAAGGATAGGCAAGATTCTAACCTGCGTGATTTCAAGTACAAATGAATCCCTCTGGGAGTTTGGGGGATTAATGCATACATACATGTATGTGCATGCATGCATACACACAAGCACACGCACACATGAAAATATAATTTTTTTCTCTTAGGTACTGTTGAGAATTAATGAGGCTACCTGCAACGATGCTGGCAAGCTGCTGGGTTCTGGTAATGGGGTAGATGCTGCGTGCCTGAACAATTGCTGAAGCGATTTTCTTGGCATGCTTCTCCTCCCCATATGCTCTTAGGATAGATGCAAGTGCCTGTTGATCTAAAGCATTCACAACATCAGCAGCAGTGGGCATGTCAGGGTACCTATGCACAAGAAGAGCCAATTAGTTCACTGACGTCAGTTTTCATTGACAAGAGGTGAAACTTCAGAGTACTGAGATATAAAGTCAGACATATACACATAGACGAGGTTTTAAAGTCAGAGACTGAAACCTTAAACAAATGAAATAGACTTTCCATTTCAAATACTCATCATTATGGCAATGGTGATGGTTTGTGATATTTATCAAGGTCAAGGCAGCAGGAAGTTAAAATATTATACTAACCTTTATCTTTAATTCACACCGAAATGATACAAGGTATGTTGATGATATTTAAACGAGTCTAAATCTGAAGAACTTGACTAAATCTGAGGCTGTAAAATAACTGATAACTTGTGTAGACACAAATTGAACTTTGAAAATCTATACAAAAAGATACTGCTGGTCAGTTTCCCTCATAAAACTCAAAACAACCTTAATGGCAATAATGCATATTATTCAAATGTTTAACAATATTTGCTCATTCCTCCATAACAAAGATCACCATATGGTAAAACCTGGTAATCAAGAGGCAGTATTGATCAAGTCTAGATAGTAATTTTAGGTGGAGGAGAAATAAAAAAATACAAACCTTTGGTCAAATAAAATAAATTATAGTCAGAAATGACATTCACTCTGTCAGACCATTCCTGTTTACTTTAGAGAAATAGGCCAAAGAATTCTAAGTGATAAGCTAATTGTGACCTTACATATTAGAAAAATAGCTTTGCTAATGGTACAGTTACTTCTCGTATAGTTAATATGTTGGATTGATTGTTGGTAACACATTGTGAGTATTTACAAGTAACAAGAATATGGTAGCTTGAAGACCTAAGGGTCCAACCAGAGTGGGGTTGCCAAGATACACCTGAAATTCTCCTTAAAAATACTAAAATATACATTGTTAACATGTCTAGTGCCTCCAGGAGAAAATCTTTTTGTGGTCCTTGGCTTGTCCCCAGATTTGTCATCTCTTTCATCTCTCTTGATGTCTCTTTGTCTCTCTTTTTTGTCCAAACCTTGCTTTTCAGATCTTACAATAATTGTTTTTATGTAGGTCTGCCACTAAACCCACAGAACAATGAATATCTTTTAAGGTAGCCCTATTTCTGTATCAGTAGACTTTGCTTCTTCAGTTTTCAGGATGAAAATCTGGCCTTTGGAGTTCAATTGATCTGAATTAGAATCCTGGCCCGGCTACTCACATTGAGTATAATTTTTAACCTATTAGAGCCCCAATTTTTAACCTATGAAATGAAAGTAAGAATTCTTAACTCATAGAATGGTTTGAACAATTATTGGTATACATATTGTAAAACAGAAATATAATGCCTGGAACATAAGAGATGCTCAATGCATGCCATTGCCCTTTAGATCTTTCTCACTCATAAATTTGCAAGGCATAATTCGCGGCTTAAACAAAAAAATCCCTGTTAAACCTGACCTATTTGTGAATTCAAATGCTCAAACCACTGAGCATTTGAATTAACTCTGTTAAAGATGTGAAATTTAGAAATGTATACATAGGATACAGTCCAGCTTTACCAAGAGAATTGTATCATGAGTATGGATGTACTTAGCAGTTTTTAATGATACTTTTCTATCTTTAAATAAGAAAATTTAAAAGCATTTTGTTCAACACACATAATTTTACTCTGAATAAATAATTGGACAATACACATAATTTTCTCTTACTCTTATATTAACAGTGATTGATGGCATAGTTTCCATAGTGCTACACTGGAAAGGTACAACACTGGAAGGTTTGGCAGGCTGCTACGCAGCTTGAGAATAGGCATTCGTATGGTCAAGGAGTCAAGATCCAAGAGCTGCCCTCCAACTAACAGGTTAATAGATTTGATCTTGTCAGTCCTCCAGAGTTCACTGACTTACAGTGACTAAACTAAGAAAATATAAACACAAGTGATAATTTATTATCTTCCAGTGAAAACTATAATTATTAACAGAACTAGACTCTCAAATTCCTGAAGCTGTGAATTTCTTTCTGTGGCTTCCACAGGAGAAGACTTATTGTAATCTGAAAGCTGCTGTTGAAATTGGGATCAGCACAGAATAAATTATGTTTTAATACTCTACTGTTAAATGGTGACTGGTTAAGGAAGTCGCTTGCATTTGTCTTCATCACAGGGATACTCTCTCCCTTCAGGAACTAACAGGCCATATTTTTTGACCAGGAGTAGCCAAAGCAAACACATACCACTTGGATTAGCATTGTACATATTTGCATCTATGACTTTTCTTTTTCAATGATTTCATGTTAATCAACTCCCCCTTTTCAAAGGTCACATACTTTCTTCAGATATGTTGGCATTTTTGATTAAGTTATAGTCTATACTATCTATCTGAAAGCCATTCAACATTTTAAGATATATTTACACAACTCATCCACTAGGTATTGATTTAAGAGTTTAATTCTTAGTGTCAATGTTATTTTCAAGCTCTTGGGAAAACCTCAGGGACCCTGATTCACAAACTACAATTTGCTGATAAGTCTTTAACAATATGGGATTTATTACTAGTAACTAGAAGTTTTGTTCATTGTATTTCAGAAACTGGCTTGATGTTTTATTACCTCTGCACAACCACCTCTATCTCCACACATGAGAATATATTTGAACTTTATTATTAGTTACTTGTTTTTAAATGCTTTTTATTATTTTCTTTTATAATTATACCCTTCATTCTGTGAATGCCAACATGTGCAAAAGAAGGTAAAACACTTGGGAACAACAGGGTCCCAACAAATATAGGTCATGTGCCAAGTTAACAGGTCATATCACAACATAGGGAAAAATGCTATATGTGAATAATTACCACAAAACAAAGCAGTTTGTGATGAGGCATGATATGAGAGAGAAAAGCACAGTTAAGTTTTACAAGTATAGGCTGTCCATTCCCTAGGTCAGTATTGAGAATAGACACAGGTCCTAATCTAAGCTTTTAACATTAATTTGGACAATAAATACAAAGAAATTGTTGGCTGGGCATGGTGGCTCACGCCTGTTAATCCCAGCACTTTGGGAGGCCAAGGTAGGCAAATCACATGAGGTCAGAAGTTTGAGACCAGCCTGGGCAACATGACAAAACCCCGTCTCTACTGAAAATACAAAAATAATTAGCCAAGTATGGTGGTGCATATCTGTAATCCCAGCTACTCAGGAAGCTGAGGCATGCCAATTACTTTAACCCGGGAGGAGGAGGTTGCAGTGAGCCAGGATCATGCCACTGCACTCCAGTCTGGGTGACAAAGGCTCTGTCTCAAAAGAAAGAAAGAAAGAAATTATTTCTATACTTTCCTAGAATATGATTGTGTTATTTAATATATTTGAATAATGGAAAATAAATTCTAGTATTTCCAGAAAGAGGAGGTTAAAAGATATCCTATGTATAGGACTATGTTTGATATAGTACCATAAATTGCAGATTCTCTGGAGAAGGTTCAAACAAAGTGACTGTACAAGACAGGACAAAACACACTTGCTGACCTCTAAGATCTTACCTTTTTTTGTGTGTGTGTATTCTAAAAGAGGATGCATTAAATATATGTAGTTCTTTTGGCTTCTCACAAGAGACACAGTTGGGCATGCATAAAAATGGAATCATTATTTCAGCATCATATTTATTGATATTGGTTAACACTCTAAAACCTATATTGTGTAAGTAAAAAAGATAATCTGAGTGAAAGTTATCCTTGTTATCCTCTTCACTATTTTATGTAAAGGTAGTAATTGTTTTTCTTTAAACATCCCAAATCCAGAGAAACATTGATGTGTATAATGAGTATCGAACAAACTGATTTATTATGTATTGGTGACGTTAGGTCTAGGCAAGTGTTGGAAATTTTGTAGTCTTAAAAAAATTAAATTCAGAGCATTTGTGACAAATTGATTTCTTGTTGTTAGAAGAAATGCTTTATCAATACTCACCTGTCACCATCCATCCTCATGTCCAAGGGGCCGTCTTTCCGAAGGGAAAAACCTCTTTCAGAAGTATCAAGTTGCATGGAGGAACACCCAAGATCCATAAGAACTCCATCAAAAGTCCCTGGCTGCACTTCAGCTTTCATTAATAAGGTTTCTGCCTGGCTGAACCGGCCCAGCATAGCTCGGATTTGTTTACTGTGGGTAAACCCAGGAGACAGCGAAAACACTTCTGTTATATTAAAGTCTTTCTAAAGTCTATGATCAATGGAAGAGAGCACATTCTATTATTACATGATTTAACCATTATATATTTACCGAGTGCTTGGTGTTGTATAAAGACATGGATATGGAAACTATACATCTTGAGTTTCAAACACCAGAGCTGGTTTAATGTAATTTTATTACTGCTGATAAACACAATTTATTGTATATCTTTGTGAAGGGATACAATATACTCCTAAGTTAGAAAAATTCTTTTGTCAAACCAGGTCTTTCAAATCTTCTTTAAAAATTCTTAAATCTATGGGTAGAGAAAGAAGCATATGTCATTCTATCAAAAGAATAATGAGTAAGTCAATTTAAATACAATAACTAATAAAATAGAAATCATAAAAAAGATGTCAAATATGTTCAGTCCAGTCATTTTAGCTTTCTCCATGTTTTTCCTATAATTTAGAATAGGGTATGCAGCTATAAACTCCAGGAATGAAACCATGACTAAAATAAATGCCTTCTTGCAGAAGCAATGTATTATCTCTCAGAAGGGATTCTGAAGTGAATGGAGCATTCAGAACCAACAGACAGGCAGGAGTTGGGATCACCTTGTAGCTATACTAATGCTTCTTCCTACACAAAGTGAGATGCTGCCTTCAGGGTTCTTCAGAAGCCTTAAGGCAACTAGCATGCATTTTTGAAAGTGAATGAGAAGAGATTGGGCAATACTCTCAAGACATCATTCCCTCTGTTTAAAGGTGGGTAGAGTGAGTTTGGATTTCAAACAGTGTTAGAGAATTTACATTTACAATGTTTACTTATAGTTATGTTGTTTAAGGTGAACTTCACAGTTCATTAGTAACTTTTTAATAAAATTCCAATGGAGAAAGTAATTGAATATCTGCTATGGGTCAAGCATTGTTATTGGGAGTGTACATAAAGATTAATAAAGCATGACTTTTTTTGCTTTGAGCTACGAGGAAAAGATATACAAACAGTTTACAAAATAATCTGATGGTTGCCACTAACAGAATGATGAACAAATTGCCCTGTTTTTATTTGGAGAATAAAAATGCCAATACTAGCATTGGAAACATAGAAATAACAGAATCTTACTACTGAAAGGCAACTCCCAAGTCATTTATTACTATTACATAACTAATATTTGTATTTTTCCCCAATCCAACATCACTGCTAGGTGAGTGGGCAGAAACATGGAGACTATATAGATATAGTCACTGTTTTAAGTACCTCCTGTATACACCATTGGTGAGAGAGGGATTCCAATTCTAAGGTTGTTGAGATGGCCAAACAGGAATTCATCTAGCCCAACACTGGCCAGATGAAACAAAAGTTTTTTTTTTTTAATTTATTTTTTATTTTATTTAACTTTTAAGTTCAGGGGCACATGTGCAGGTTTGTTATATAGGTAAACTTGTGTCATGGGTGTTTGTTGTACATATTATTTCATCAACCAGTTATTAAGCCTAGTATCCATTAGTTATTTTTCCTGATCCTCTCCTTCCCCCTACCCTCCCCACTCTGGTAGGCCCCAGTGTGTGTTGTTCCCCTCTATGTGTCCATGTGTGCACATCGTTTAGTTCTCACTTACAAGCACGAGCATGTGGTATTTGGTTTTCTGTTCCTACATGAGTTTGCTAAGAATAATGGCCTGTAGCTCCATTCATGTTCCTGCAAAGGACATGTTCTTATTCTTTTTTATAGCTGTGTAGTATTGCATGATGTATATATAGCACATTTCTTTATCCAGTCTACCACTGATGGGCATTTAGGTTGACTCCATGTTTTTGCTACTGTGAATGAACATATGTGTGCATGTGTCTTTATAATACAACAATTTATACTCCTTTGGGTATATACCCAGTTATGGGATTGCTGGGTTGAATGGTATTTCTGTCTTTAGGTCTTTGAGGAATTATTACACTATCTTCCACAATGGTTGAACTAATTTACACTTCTACCAACAGTGTATAAGCGTTCCTTTTTCTCTGCAACCTCGTCAGCATCTGTTATTCTTTGCCTTTTTAATAGTAGCCATTTTGAATGGTGTGAGGTGGTATCTCATTATGGTTTTGATTTGTATTTTTCTAATGATTAGTGACACTGAGCTTTTCTTTCATATGTTTAATGACTGCATGCAAGTCTTCTGAGGCTGAAGTTTATTAATCACGTATATTCCCCTCCCAGCCAAAGGGAAGAAGACATTACTTGCCAGGCAGGGTCACATGGGGGTTATACTCAGCAAGAGAGTAGACAACCAGGGGTTGTGATTAGTAGATTTTAAGATATTGGGGTGCCCCTGGGTTTCTAGAAGGATGTGATTGGCTTGTTTGGATAATTCCTTGAGCTGGCAGGAACTGAAACTGCTAAGGGAGGCATAAGCAGAAATTAGCCTGATCCCTTTGATAAAAAGGGGTTGTTTGGCAAGGTAACCTTATCTGTAAGAAATAGTGGGGAGAGGAATTTGTGGCTAGGTTATTTGAGAAAAAAATAATTTCTTTATATATATATATATATATGTATTATATGTTAAAAATATAAATCACAGCTCCTTCCACACCACCACAATGGTGCACATGGATGTGATCTCAAAAGCTGATGCTCTCAAGAGCATCAACAATGCAGGAAAGAGAGGCAAACGCCAGGTTCTTATTAGGCCGAGCTCCAGTTATTGTCTGGTTTCTCACAGTGATGATGAAGCATGGTTACGTAGGCGAATTTGAAATCACTGATGATCACAGAGTTGGGAAAATTGTTGTGAACCTCACAAGCAGGCCAAACAAGTGTGGAGCGATCAGCCCCAGATCTGATGTGCAACTCAAAGACCTAGAAAAATGGCAGAATAATCTGCTTCCATCCTGCCAGTTTGGTTTCATTGTACTGACAGTCTCAGTCTCAGCTGGTATCATGGACCATGAAGAAGCAAGAAGAAAACACAGGGGAAAAATCCTGAGATTCTTTCTCTAGAGATATAATACATGTTTACAAATAAAATGCCTCATGAACACACACACACATATATATATATGTTATATATACATAATCAAATGTGTGTATATATACAAGTTTTATATATATGTTGTATATACATATACACACACAACACACACACACACACACACACACACACACACACACACATATATAGATTATATGTGTGTGTGTGTGTGTGTGTGTGTGTTGTTATAAATAAACATCAAATAGTACCTAAGATATTATGTCAGGATTCTCCAGAGAAACAGAACCAGTAATATGTACACACACTCACACACACACACACACACACACACACACACATTTTATATATATATATATATATAGTGTTTTATATATATAGTGTGTGTGTGTGTGTGTGTGTATATATATATACATATAGTTGGAAAGAATATCTATATATATATAGATATATAATTGGAAAGAATATATATATATATCCTCATTCTTCCTTTTACATATATACATGTATACAGTCATATATATATACTGTGTGTGTGTGTGTGTGTGTGTGTGTGTGTGTATGTACATACTACTAGTTCTGTTTCTCTGGAGAATCCTGACAGACATATCTCAGGTACTACTTGATGTTAATATAAGAATAAAATAAAATTATACCTGTTTTCTCGTGAACTCCACTTAAGCAAAACACTATTTTCCCAAGAAGTTAAGGAACACGTAATGACTGGGCCTTAATTTGGGGTCTTACACCATAGTCCTTAGTTCACGTTTGAACGTTCTCAGTAATAGGAACTCACTACTGTTTTGTTAAACAGTTCTTTTTTAGTAGATAGCTATTTTATCACTATTTCTATAACTTTTTCCCTAGTATTCCCCTATGTTAAGCAAGTTGAAAACCCAGTCCCCAGAGCAGCCTTTCATACATGTACTGTTAGCTACTCTAAGAGATATTTGTTGGCTACCTTAGTTGCCAATCTGTCAATTCCAAAAGCAACTCAAAATTGCAGTCACATATTTTGGGAAAGATTGATCATACCCATGATAGTTTATTGTCAACTTGGCACTATAGTGCCCAATTATTAAATCAAACACTAACTTATGTGTTGCTGGGAAGGTATTTTGTAGATATGTGTAATATCTACAATCACCTGACTTTAATTAAAATCTATTATTCTTAATAATGTAGATGTGCAGCCAGGCATGGTGGCTCATGTCTGCAACCCCAGCACTTTGGGAGGCTGAGGTGGGCAGATCACCTGAGGTCAAGAGTTTGAGACCAGCATGACCAACATAGTGAAACCCTATCTCTACTAAAAATACAAAAAAAATTAGCCATCTGTGGTAGCAGGCACCTGTGATCCCAGCTACTCAGGAGGCTGAGGAAGAAGAAACACTTGAACCTGGGAGGCGGGGGTTGCAGTGAGCTGAGATCGCACCATTGAACTCCAGCCTGGGCAATGAGTGAAACTCCATCTCAAAATAAACACATACATATGTACATACATATATAAATACATACATACATAATGTAGACGTGCCTCATCCAATCAGTTGAAAGGTCTGAAGTTTCCTAGAGGAAGAAGAAATTCTGCCTCAAGACTGCAACATCAGCTTCTACCAGATAGTTTCTAGCTTCCTGGCCTATCCTACGGATTTCAAATATGCCAGACCCCACAATCAGGTGAGCTGACTCCTTGAAATGAATTTCTTTATGTAATAAGATATCATACACACACACACACACACACACACACACACACACACACACATATATACATACACATATATATTTTATATGTATATAAATATACACATACATGTATATAAATGTATATACACATGTATATATGTATATAAATATATATATACACATATGTATGTGTATATATATATTTATATATTATATAAATATATATATATATACATGTATTTATCTACTTCCTATTGGTTCTGTTTCTCCTAGTAGCCTGATAGATATAATATCGCTGGTCAAGAGGTAGATTTTT